AAGCACAGTCTCTGGAGTCAGGCTTGAAGTTTAGCACTACCACTTTCTAGTTATCGGATCTAGGCGAGTACACAATCTCCGTGAGTTCGTTTTCTCGTCTCTAAAGGAAGTGGTGGTGTGAGAATAAAGGAGACATGGCAAGTGTCTGGAACAGGGCTTGGTTACACTGTTAATCAGTTTAAAACCTCTGTGGGTTTGTTTTTTTTTCCCCGTATGAAATCTTATGCGGAAACTTTTATATGAAATAAATGAATGCAGAGCTACCCCGGTTGAAGGTGGGTCCAGAGCTTTTCCTTTTCAGTCTCGAAGGTACCTCTAAGGAAATCCCCAAGCATCCTGAATAGATAAAACAACTCATTGGAGAAACTTTTTGGAAAGACAAACTGCCCTCTCCTGTCCAAATATGTACCCCCGAACATTGTATTCCTTTTTGCCTGTGTTTTTTCTAAAGTTGTTTCCTATACTGGGAAATAATTTTCTTCTTTTCTTATTCATCATTTACGATAACTCAAATTGCAACTTGTTCTGGGGTGACCTAATAAGAAATTACCTCTGAGGCCCAGCACAGAGGCTCATGCCTGTAATCCTAGTACTCTGGGAGGCCAAGGCAGAAGGATCGCTCAGCTATCCTTAGGAGACCAGCCTAAGCAAGAGAACCCCTCGCTACTAAAAAACATAAAAAGAGCCAGGCGTTGTGATGGGCACCAGTAGTCCCACTATTCTGGAGGCTGAGGTTGGAGGATTGCCTAATATGAGATTGACTGAGCAAGACTGATAGCTGGGAAAGGGGAGGAGGGGGGATGGGGGATCACGGTGTATGGCACACCTTTTGGGGGAGGAACACAATGGTTAGAGGGAATATTGACTTAACTGGGTTGTGTAAATCCAGGGACAGAGTTGATATCACAGGAACTCTTGACTCTTCCTTCTTGGATACCTGAGAGGTCCCTCGTATCCTGAAGTCATTTTGACTAACAAATGCAATCAGTGTAATCTAATTCTTTTGACCTTCAATGAATCCCAAATAATGAAATAAATAAATAAACAAACAAACCCAGCCAGTTGGGGAGTGCGGCCATTTTGGGACTCTAGGTCTGCTGCCCCTCCACTGGCTGAAATAAAGCACTTCCCCTAAAACAAACAAACAAACAAACAAACAAAACTAAAAAACAAAACAACAACAAAAAGAAATTATCTTTTTATTGTAACACCCTCCCACCTTCAGCCTGGTGTAACCTTCTCAGCAAGGATGGAAACTTTCTTCCTCGTTTTAGGAAACTAGAGAGGGTCTTTGTGATTATAAGGTTAATACTCATAGCATGCAGGGGGAAGTAGGTAGATCCCCAAGGACACTGGCAAGAGGGAAGAATGGTAGAGCTAGGAAGGAGGACCTTTGCTAGAAGTGTGTTGGCTTCCAGGGTGCTACTCTATTCTTCAGAAGCAATGAATTCCTGCAGTGCTTTCGGGTCCATCTGAGAAAGATGGGGTGGGGACACAGCAACAAATGGAGTTTCCAAGGGCTCAGGCTAGATTTAATTTGAGTCAGTCAGCAATAAAATGTGGCATTACTTGCTCCCTAAATGGCATGATGGAATCCCATCTATTACAGAGAACTACATAAATGATTCATATAAAAATATGAATACATTCTGATACATTAAAAAGTCCTTTATTTAGACCAAGTAATGAAAATGTAACAATATTTTATTTAAAAAACATTTACATAACTGGTACCTTTGATTGTAAAAAATTAATAGTAATGTTAAAATAATTAAATTTATTTTATTTGGAACAATGCCACAGAAAGTAAGAAACTCTTGAGAAACAAGGAGAACCTTACTTATGACAACATTTTTCACCAAATTTGACATGATAAAAAGGCTTAAAAATGTCTTCTATATAAATGGTTTCACACTTCTAAAAGCACTTGAATAAAAACTTAGCCAATGATGTATTTAATATGATTTCAGTGCAACTTTCTTTTCTATTTATTTCTTTGATAATGTCAATTACCAATCACTTTCTGTCTTGCAGACTTTACTGTTTTCAAAACTTTGCTAATATGCCAGCCTTCAGTTTAATTTTTCCTAACTTCACCTTCTTAATATAACCCATCCATTCAATTCCCCTCTCTACTCTTGAAGGTCCAGTTCAAGTATCACCTCCTTTAAGAAGTTTTCTTCAACTTCCTCCCTGAGAACACTTTTGAATTATTCATTTGGATTATAGCTAACCGTACATATCTAGTCCTTCTAAGGTTCTTAAAGGCAAGTATCATGTGTTAGTCATATTTTTATTTTTCATAGTGTTGATTTTACACTAGAATTCAAGTTATATTGATAACCACCCCCTTGAATATCTTGTTCATCCCTCTCGACTTCGTTGGCAAACTTAAGAATTCAGCACCTAGCACAATGCCTGGCACATAGTAGGCATATTATAAGTGCATTTTGAATGAGGGAATTGAACGAATTTTAAAACAAGCTCCACAAAAGCAAGGCTTTGCCTGTTTTATTAATTGAAAAAAGACTATTTGAATATTATCTAATGAATGTTTGAATGATTTTTGAAGGCTTGGAATTCATTATATATACCAAAAATTCTTCAGTCTATATATCTACACAAGTCAAATATGTAGTATTTATATTGCCTTTCACTCAACTATTTCAGTAGGTAATATACCTTTCTGAAAATAAGACATCTCCCAGAACTACAGAAGCAAAATTTAAAAGAATCAAAATAATACAGATGTTTATGTTAGTTTCATTTTTCTTCCTTGTATTTTTCTGTGTTCTACATTTTCTGTGATTATGATGCATTATTTTGTAATCAGAAAAAAAATCAGTGTTACTTTTTAAAGAAGGCAATGGGTGAGAGATCATTTGCAGATTTATGGCTGAGGAAATTTTGAGGACATCAAGTTCAATCAAGGTTACTTGGAGTTAAAACCAGAGAGAAAAATACTGAAATGTGATAATAACATAAAAAGTTGAAACCTAGTTAGTTTGCCTGGAAAAAAATACTTCTCAGAAGAGAGATGGATAACATGATCCGAGAAAAAAAGAGCATTGAAGAACAAGAAGGTAGGACATTTGTTTAGCATTGTCCTTAGAAATATGATACTTTCGTCCATGGACTGAATTATGTCCTTCCCCAAATTCATAAACTGAAGCCCTAATCCCCAATGTGAGCATATCTGGATACAGGAGATTGAGACGGTAATTAGGTTTTGATGAGGTCATGAGGGTAGGGCCTCATGGTGTAATTAGAGTGCCCTTATACAAGAAGACACACCAGTGAGCTTGGCTTGTTCTTTCTCCATCATGTGACGACACAGTGAGAAGGTGGCCACTGGCAAGCTAGGAAGAAAGATCTCACTGGAGCCAGGCCATGCTGGTATTCACTCTAATCTTGAACTTCCAGCCTCCAACAGAAATATATTTCTTTTGTTTAAGCTCGCCTAGTCTGCATTATTTTGTTATAGCATACAAAGCCAAGACAGACAAAGCGGATAGTTTTCTGATACTGGAAGATCTTCTCTCTGATTTAGTAAATATTTATTAAATGCCTACTGTGTTCCCTGCTCTATGCAAAATGCTGAGGACTCAAGGATGACCAAGACAAGGCTCCTACACCTAAGGAGCTGATTTAATAAGAGACACACATGTAAACATACTGAAAAGAGTATTACATGCGCTCTGAGAGAAGCATGTAGAGGGACCCAAAGGTGAGGGGAATTGTTTCTATCTGTGGTTGGAATGGGATAATTTTAGTTGGTCAGTACTCTATCAAGTTAACTCTAAGTTTGCCAACCAAATCAAGAGTTAGGGCTTTCAGGGTGCTTACAAACCTGAGTCTTGCTGGGTGATCAGCCTTTTAGACTCTGACCTCAGCATCTCCACTATCTATGACAGCAACATCGTTTAGCAATGAATTAATTCCTATAAAAAGTTTCCAGTAATAGGCATATATTTCAGAAGTTCAATGAAGTCAGAAGGCCAGTACTAGACAGCCGTAGAGAGATTTAGGTGGTGGCTGCCCACTGAGAGGTAGGAGAGAACTTGCTGCATGCCCCCCAAAATGGAACAGGCTTTTGGCTGTGGCTTAATGTGCCCTTCTATCATTTCTATACTCTGTGTATTTCCACTTCTAATTCCTTGGGACACAATATTTTTATAGCATTCTTACTTAGTTACACTAACCAAATGTTATAAAGGTTCATAAGTATTCAAAGCCTGTTACTTAGAGAAAAGGCTACTGATGACACAGGAAACGCACTCAGTGTATCATTTTTTGGCCTCATATCCCTTTTTGCTGGATAAGTCCTAATTATCCCTCAGCCAAGGCTCTACTTTCTCTGGGAAGTTGTGCCTAAACTGTACAGCTGGATCCATGGGGCTCCAGCTCTAAGCTCCCTAGCACCCCTACTATTCCTATGTAATAATATTTATATTGTTTTGCAATCTCTTATTTAATTTTTCCTTTACTGGGCTATAAAATCCCTATAGACAGGAACAATATCTGTCTGATGTGATACCTGGATTACCAATCATCTTTCAGAATCTGCAGCAGTAGAAGACCAGTTGAGCATTAAGTTGATGGTACCTCCACCAAAGTACACCTAAACCTATGAAATTCAGTTTGAAACACTCATCAGCCCCTTGGTATAAATTAATCCAGTCCAGTTGAGGACATAAGCACTAAAGGAATACAGTTCCATACAGTAACCAGAATCAGGCTGATATAAAAATGAAGGCTGTTTAGAAGAGGTAAATATTAAGCTAGTTTTGAATAGAGGTGAAAGGGTGGATAGGGTTGGAACTCCTCCAAACAGAGGATTAGACGAGCTTTAAGCAGATCAGCTTGGTGGGGTCATAATTTAATACATGTTTAATATATGTATTTATAATAATATAAATTTAATATATTAAATAATATATTAATATCTATTCAATACATATTATGATTATTTAATATCTATTTTAAGATTAGATTGAACTTTTGAATTTAGGTGAATTCAGATGGGATATGACAAGTATACATGTTGAGGTATACATATACATATAACATGATAAAATCTGTAAACTGGATTTGAATATGATTGTTTCAGCAGCAACTAGACAGGCGAGTGAAGAGGAACTTAGGAATGGTGCACAAAAGCAGAGGTGGCCTGCTATAAAGTGGGATAAAATGTGACAAGTGCAGATAAGCCTTTCTTCTAATCTTTTCTCTGCTGGCATGTCACAATGTCTGAAATTCCTGCCATGGAATTCACTCAGGTTAGTGGGCAAGCATGTGCTACTGAGTGATAATAACACCCACCCCAGCAGAGGTTCTAGCCCCCATAAATGCTTAGCGAGAGACAATACTTCTCAGCCTCCTCCTAGCTGGAGATGGCCCTCTACAGAATGTAAGAGGAGACATGTGCCCAACTTCTACATCACGTCTTAAAAAATAAATTGCTTTACTTGCATTTTCTCTTTTTCCTCCTTCTGAGAGGAAGAAAAGAGACATGGCAGAGATTCTTCTTTGACCAGTGTCCTAAGCTGGGACACAACAGAGCTTCCTGATAGAGAAAGACATGGGTCTCTGAGCAGAACTCATGAACAAAGTAATCCTGTCAGCATCTACTAACCAGCCAGGCTCATCAGAGGAAAGAAAATTCTGTTTCCTTTTAAGTACTACGTGTAGTATGTCTTATTTCTTTCCCATAGCAGATTATATTGCCTTAATATAATATTTCTGAGGTGGGCATAGATTTCAAAATTAGCTATTTCTCACCGAGAAAAGATGTGGGTCACAAGAAACAACTAAGAGCTAGATCAGGACACTCCATAATTCAGGCAGACCCAGATGGGCCAAGGAAACAGAGGACTCTGGGTTGCCAGCTAGGAAATAGTACAATGTCTTTCAACACCTAGTGAGGCAAGATGACGAACCAATGAAGATACTCATATACTTTAAAATTTTGGAGGGACCAGTTACAATAATTCACAGAAAGGTGGTAAGAGCAAGAAATGAAGAAGAGGCAGATTAGCAGGGAAAGTGAGGGTAGAAATTGATGAGGGACTACATTACAGTTTTTAAAAACAAAAACAAATACAAGAGGAGCCAAAAACAATTCAAGGAATTAGAGCACAGGTGACTATGAATGATGAAACTATGACAGTTTAAAGAAAGTTAGCACAAGCTGCTGCCTAAGCTAAAGTTGGTCTTTCCCATGCTAATTTAAATCATGATAGGTCATTAAAGTAGATACACCCTTATACAAATTAAGATATGTGATGAAGGGGTATTTGGGGAGGAAAGGGAAGAAACTGGGGTTGGAGATGTTGAGCATTATTACTCACATGTAAAATGCAAGGGCTAAAAATGCAGTTTAAAGAAACAGCCAGACTTTTGGTTCTATCACGTTTGGAGCTTAAACATCACATATTTCAATATCCCTCTTGATAAAAATAGCAGCTTTCTAACCAGTGTGTTCAGCATTCTCTCTTTTCACCATTAAACTTGCACAGAAGTCTCTTCTTGAACTACTTCATCTTTATTTTGATGTTCAACTTTCTGGAGAAGCCTGGGGCCCAGCAAACCAATAAGGAGACTTCCAACTGGGGCTGTGAGGAGGATGGCCAAAAATGCCACTGTCAACACATCCATTCCATATGCTTCTAACTGTTTCTCTCCATGTGATCTTGCTGTGTCCAAAGCCACTGATCCTATTGCTGCCTATAAAAGGGTAACATTGGAAACGTGATAAAACCAGTGCATATTAAAAGAGTAAATTTCATACCATTTGCAAAAACAAATTGCCTGTTCTTCTGGTCAACTAAGGAAGTTATATTAGTCTTCTTTCAAAGTGTACTGCAGTTGGTTTTGATTATCTAAAAACTCTCCCTGCCCTTGCCCGGGAACAGCCTGATGATTCAAATGTACCTATTTGCATAAGGTAGTGTTATATAAATATCAGGCAAATACCTTTCAAAACACAAGGCAAATCTACACTCACAATTAAACATAGCACGAACCTGTAAACACTAATTTTTTTCCTGAGTAAAGGTGAAAGCTACTAGTTATTTCATTCTTTTCTTTAGCAATTTGGAATTAAGAAATAACAAGATAAATAATACAGTGGTACTTACTGAAGATGATGAAGTTTTAAGTGAATGTGTATTGCTTTACAAGGCCAAACTAATTATCAAACACCATGACACATTAAAGTGGTGGGCACCTCGAAAACTTGAAGTTAATCCTCTTAAGTATTTGGTTAACCCTTTGCCTCAGGAGTTGGTGAAAGAGTTTATTTAAAATGCTTCTATTGGAAAGTAGTATGAAGATTCTCTCTTTTAGAGACAAAATACAATATTCTCAGTATAGATGGGGAAAATGTATTAATTAATCTGGTTATCCCCTTATTTGACAAAGCAGAACAATGTTAGCCTCTAAGACAATGAAACTGAAAAGAGTATGTTCTAGACACAACAGCAGAGATTGCCAGTTGCCCACAAATATTGACTGCCCCCTTTCCCTTCCGTATTAGAACTCAGGTTCAGCTGGCCACCTTGCTGCCCAGGGACTTTTTGTCTTTTAAACCTCTTTTGCAACTTCATGTAGCTGTGTAGTATCTAAATTCGGTCCACTGTGAGAGTGAGTGGAAATGATAAATGCTATTTGTAGATTGTTCCCTGAAAACAAATGGACACAAGTACCTCATTATTTTCCCTCTGTTCCACTAGGCGGGAAATAGTTAAAGTTAGACCCCTGGATGAAGGGCACATACTGGGGATGGTGGTCACTTTACCAGCTGGACTGAAATACCCATGCTGGACTCTCCGTGAGAGAAAAATTAAAATCTATCTCATTTAGTCTCTGTATCTGGAGGCTGTTTTTGCAGGTTACTCTGTGTCTTAACAAATTCTGGACAAGAACTGAGCATTTTACATCACAAGGTGTATTTCTCTTTCAGTTCTCTGTTGTGTGTGTTTTTGTATATGCAAGCAAGTTTTAGGGTTTATATGTATGCTGTGATTTAAGATATTTTTTCTTATAGCAGAGAATAGGGTTTGAAAAACACTAATATAGAAAAAAATATGAGGACATTTTCTTTCTTGTGAGTGCCAAAAGAACAAAAAAGAAAATGCTATACAATATTTGCTTCCATTGGTCAGGAATAATCTAACACATCTTAGATAATTTCTCAGTTTAAAATTTGTTTAATGGTAGGAAAGTGTGATCTTTCAAATTTTATCACTTAGAAACAAATCTTTCGTACCTAAGCTGTTACAGTCATTATTTTGATATTTACCTACTTAAGTCACCAAAAGTAGTGTGGAAATTGGACACACTGTGAGGGAGAAATTATTCACAGTAAGTTAGCCATTATGTCTCAGACATCTTTGAAAGACTGATGTGAAAACAACAACAACAAAAACCCTTCTCTGTAATAATGCCCAAACCCATGGTCCCCCCAAATTTGTAATATAAATAGGAGCATACACATCCCTAAAGACTCCTAAACTAAGAGCACCTGATTTTCATTCCATAAAAATAGAAGTTTGTGTGTGTGTGCGTGTGTGTGTGTGTATATATATATATGTATGTATGTATGTATATATTTTTTTTGTTGCCGGGGCTGAGTTTGAACCTGCCACCTCCGGCATATGGGCCAGTGCCCTACTCCTTTGAGCCACAGGTGCCGCCCAGAAATTTGTATATTTAAACAATTGCAAAACAATCAGGGACAGAACAGTTAAATATTGTTTAATGCAATTAGTCTGAAAATACACAATACAATCAGGGCTAAATTATACTTGCAACAAATCTTAATCTAAACAATTCTTATATTCAATTGTTAATTCAATTAGCAATTACAGTTATTCTACTAAATATACGGTCAACAATTTCAAGCACCTATCTAGAAAGTGCTTTCTTTATCACTCATTCATTCAAATGACACAGTTTGGGTCAAGTGATTCAGGCATTTGTTCTAAAGGCTTAGCTAGTTTTGGATAATTAATACTAACGCATAGTCTAGGAAGTCATTAAACTGCTTGCTTTTTTTCCTAATAAATCTTCTTTTCTCCAGTCCTGGCTAAAAACCGCCCCCCATATATATATATATCTTCTTTTCTCTATTATATACGGAGACTCTGGTTAGCATAATTGATCAGTAACCCGATTGACATTAAAATATTTCCAACATTAAGCTGGGGAATAGTTACTTCTATTTTACTCTCTTCTTGGAAGACTTACTGAATTTTTAGTTGTGCTCTGAAAACATAAATTTAAACAAGCCATCACATTTAAGGAATCAGAATACCAAAAATGTAATATTAAGGAGTAGATTAGGATAAACTCTTCATAAATCAACTTTATTATTTATTTTTAACAAATTTAAATAAGCCTTCTTATTCAATATTTAAAGATGTTAAATAAAAATAGCAGTTAAAATGCTATGTCATCTTATCCATCATACCTGAACTGTGGCCTTTGGAAGCCATGCAAAAGAAATAAATATCTTTTCCTTTATGTTAAAACCAGCAAAACACACCATCAGAAATGTAGTCAAAATCCGTACCAGTACTGCAATGCCCAGGGTGGCAACACAAAAGCCTGCAAGAAATATTCAGTTTTTTAAAATAAGGAAATACTAGGGTAGAAACTACATCTCATGGCTACTAATTCAAAATCCTATCAACAGAAATAGTTTTTAAAACATTAAAAAATTAAAAATATAAAAATGGTTAGGTATAATTTATTAAAACAATCAGTATTAAGGATAAATCAGATCATTTATTAAAAATAAAGTATTTCCCTTGATTAAAACCAGAAATTAAGTAAACATATTTGAATTGTTATTTAGGAGATTTGAATCTTATCTATCTCTTATGATTTCATTTGTTTACTTCAAAAGAATGTATTAAATGATATGATACACAACAAGCTTTAAATTAGGTACAGGGTACATAAAATGTCTGACATCTAGAATTTGCTTCAATGGGCCTAGAAGTCTGAGGAAGACTTGGAAACATAAACAACTAATTCATATTCTATATGGTGAGTGAAGTGTAAACAAACTGAAGTCACAGAAAAGGGGAAACATAATATTTTCACCAAAGTAGCTGAGAATTCTTTACAGAGTATAAGACCAGAGGTGATGTTCAAAATACTTACCAGCCAGTATGGAGCAAATCAGCCAATCTGGTGCCTATTCTGATGTGTACTCATCACACATTATCCCTGCATAACATATATAGCTACTCCATTCAATTCTTTAGAAAACTTTGATGATAAAGACAAGTTCATCCTGATATAAGCAATAAAGGATTGTGACTAGTGATGCTGCATGGTACTAGACCTGAGATTGATTGGCACAGCTAAGCTGACTCCTGAATAATATTTATTGTTTACTCTGTGCCAGGTACTAAGCTTTAAGTGTACTATCTTACTTAATCCTTGCAATCTGTGCAATGATTATTCTCATTTTACAGTTGAAAAAACTGAAGTTCAGAAAGAATAAATAACTTTTCAAGTTCAAAGGACTGGTAAAACCAGATAGACATTGTGTGAGGACCTATTGTGGATCTGTAATATGGTTTCTTTTCTTTTCTTTTTTTTTTTTTTAAGAGACAGAGTCTCACTTTATTGCCCTTGGTAGAAAGCCGTGGCGTCACAGCTCACAGCAACCTCCAACTCCTGGGCTTAGGTGATTCTCTTGCCTTAGCCTCCCAAGTAGCTGGCACTATAGGTGCCAGCCACAATGCCCAGCTATTTTTTTTGCAGTTTGGCTGGGGCTGGCTTCGAATCTGGCTGGTATATGGGGCCAGCACACTACCCACTGAGCCACAGGCACTGCCCTGTAATATGGTTTCTTGATGAAAAAGTTTTAGAGCTCTTTATTGAGGGCTATAGAAATGCCCAGGGTGGTAGGTATTCAAAAGCACCTGTTGTATGAAGTGTAAGATACAAAACAATTGATACCATTCCTGGAAGGAAAGATTGAAGGTTTGAGACGAAGATGATTAGAAAGTTTTAGACATACTGAATTCGAAGTTCTGTAGGACATACAAGTGGTGATATCCACTCAGCAATTGAATATTCTGATTTAGAGATAAAGATTTTGGAATTATATAGTTTATAATTGAAGTCACTGGTGTAGATAAAGTCAGAGAAGTGATATAGAGTGAGAAGGATAGAGACCTTGGCTGGGTTCAGTGGCTCATGCCTGTAATCCAAGCACTTGGGAGGCTGAGGAAGGTAGATTGCCTGAGTTCACAGGTTCGAGACCAGACTGAGTCACAGTGAGACATCATCTCCAAAAAATTGCTGAGCATTGTGACAGGTGCCTGTAGTCCCAGCTACTTGGGAGGCTGAGGCAAGAGAATCGCTTAAGCCCCTAAAAGTTGGAGGTTGCCGTGAGCTGTAGAGAGCACAGCACTCTACAGAGGGTGACATAGTGAGACTCTGTCTCTTAAAAAAAAAAAGACCTTGGGAAGAACTTTGACAAAGAGGAGTGTTTAAGCTATTTATCGTGTAAAGAAGAACTGAAAAGGCACTAATCATTAGGGAAGTACAAAGTAAAACCACAATGAGATATTACATTACCCCAGTTAGAATATCTTTTATCAAAAAGTCCAAATACAATAGATGTTGGCATGGATGCAGAGAGAAAAGAACACTTCTATGCTGTTAATGAGACTGTAAGTTAGTTGAACCTCTGTGGAAAACAGTGTGGAGATTCCTCGAAGAACTGAAGCAATCCTACTACTGGGTATTTACCCCAAAGGAAATAAGTCATTTTATCAAAAGGACATCTACACTTGAACATTTACTGCAGTATAATTCATAATTGCAAAGAAGTGTAATCAACCCAAGTGCCCATCGTTTTATGACTGGATTAACAAAATGTGGTATATGTATACCATGGAATACTACTCAGCCATAAAAAGGATGAATTAATTCCTCTCCCAGCAGTTTGGATGGGACTAAATGAAGCATTCTAAGTGAAGTATCTCAAGAATGGAAAAATAAACACCACGTGTACTTGCTATTAAATTGGAGCTGACTGATGAACACACATGTGCACAAAGGAAAGTAAATTCAGTGGAAATCAAGCAGGGGAAGGGCAGTGTCAGGGATGGGAGGAATACTAGGTGATAAGCACACTTAGAGCCCCGATTCAAAGCATGACAAAAGCAATCCATGTGACCAAAAACATTTGTACCTCTATAATATTTTGACATTAAAAAAAAGGCACTGGAAAACATGAAGTTTCGGAATTCAATGTGAAAAAATATTATAAAAGAGGTCACTTGCTCTTGTACCCTATGCTGCTGAAAGATCAAGCAAAACGAAGCCTGGATTGAGTAATAGAGCCCTTGTGAGAGCATAACTGGTTAAGCGATGAGGCTGAAGCCGGACTGAACAGTACTAAATGTAGAAGGGAATGAGAGTTGAAGAGGAAAAGGGAAATGTAGTTACCTCTTTTTAAAAGTTTGAAAAGAGGAAGAGAGAGGGTCGGTGCCTGTGGCTCAAAGGAGTAGAGCGCTGGCCCCATATGTTGGAGGCAAAAACTGCAAAAAAAAAAAAGAGGAAGAGAGAGGTAGCATGGTGGGGTGGGGTGGGGTTGGGGAGTAAATTGGATAAAGACTACATTATATGTGTATATAATATTTTCACACATTTTAATTTTAATATATTTGTTGTAAAATATGCATGAAGTACATTGACACTATTGTGTGACTGATGTCAAGAACTTCTTCACCTTGCAGAATTTAAATTCTACACCCACGAATCAACAACTGCCTATTTACCCCTACTTCTAGCCCCTAGCAATCACCATTCCACTTTCTGATTCTATGACTTGGACCACTGTGGATACCACATACAAATGGAATCACATATTAGTATTTTTTTTCTTATCCTTGGAAAAAAAAATTTAAGCCCTTAATTTCTGGTTGCTTTTATATACAAGATACAATATTAAAGGTATGAAATTTACAGTCTTAGATTAAGAAGCCTTGTATTCCAACCAATGAGTGTGAAAGACTTAGATCATCGATAACTTTCTGTAGGGTTGTGACAGTGGGAACCGCTGTACACCTATCTACTGGAGACATTTCAACTGAATATGAAAAGTGGACCTTATTGGCGAGTAGGCTAACCAAAAAAAGGTGAATTTTAGCAAAATTATCACTTTGAAATTCTTACCAATGGTTTCTGGTCTGAGAGATGCAATAGATACCTCTGCTCCAATCAGTCCAAAAAGAAGGGGTTGAAAAATATCCCAGGCAACTGCAATTATCTTTTCAACCTCTGCCTAAAAGAAAAACAAACAACACACACACACGAACAGATTTTTACTATGTGAAGTAACAAATACCAATAATTTAACTATTACCAATTTAAAATTTGAATCATTTGACCTGGGATAGGCTTTATTTCTGTGGCATCTACAAAAGAGGTTAGCTCACAGCAAAAATATTTCATGAAGACACGTTTAATACAGTTATAATATATGAAGTGCTTTAGCATGCTAAATATTGATTTGCAAATGGATGTTAAAGATTCTTAGAACCTTATGAGTACCCCTACTTCTGAAGACACTTTGTGTGTGTGTGTGTTATGCGTGTGCCCATATTGGTACCGTATTGTTTAACAATTTTATGTTAACTTTCATTCAACAGTATTATTTAGAGAGTTTACAATATTACTTACCTACATCTAGATATGCACCTCTTTGTTCTTGCACAGTAATCTACAGTATGGCCACACCATAGTCTATTCAATCACTTCTTTATTGATGGATCTGGACATTGCTTCCAGTTTTATTTTATATTTACAAAAAATATTGTTTAAGGTGGTAGCAAGTCACGCACAAAAATAAGATCCAGATTAATAAAGCACTGGGTCAGTTACCCATTTATTGCCCCTCAGCTCCAATTTCTTTTGCATTGTTGCTCCACAGAAAATGGTGTTGGGCCTTTCCGATTATTTTTCCTTTGCCAGGTAGTGCCATGTTAAGCTTTATTATCAGAGTATGCTGAAGAGAAATTACAAGCAGAAAGTGTTTTTCTTCCTGGCTTTTGTGGCTCCTCCTACTGGGTTCCTGCATCCCAGGTGGCCTCTCCAGTCTCAAGCTCCCACAGTTGATGGCCTGCACAGCACCCAGTGGCCGCCAGCTTCCCCAGCATACTCATGAGGCAGTTTCAAAGCAGACTCTCCAGAGCAAGATACCTAGGAGAGGTACCCTAGTGGATGGATTTCCTGAAAATCGGAGGGTGAATTTTCAGCAAATCTTCCTGCCAGCGCAGCACTACTTCTCTACCCTCCAGTGAACTGAGACTCTAACAAGGACTAGATTTCAGACCAGCAGGCAGGACTGGGGAGCGGTAGGTGGAGACGATAACAGTTATAACCTTAGGGATTTATAGCTGCCATTCCTATACTCTTTAGGGTGTCTCTTTACATCTTACTAGCCAATACCTAGTTACTCTGATGCCTGGTATCATTAATATTCATAATAAACTTCCCTGTTCCAATTACTATATAATATCCCTCTCTTGATAGGACCCTAATTGATACAAATACTAACTTTATAATACAATACCAAAAACTCTAGGATAAGACTGACACAATTGATTATACTAAATTAAAATGTTTTGTGGCAAAGGGAACCTTAAACGCACTCCCCCTAAATAATGGATTAGAAGAAAATATATGCAGCATGTATAACAGAATAAGGAACATTAGCCAATCAATAAGAAAAAGACTAGTTTACATTCCCACCAGCAGCCTTTTGGAAAGACATCTGGAGAACACTTAGAGAACTAAAAATAGACCTGCCGTTTGACCCTGCAATTCCTTTATTAGGTATATTCCCAGACAACCAAAAATCACATTACAACAAAGATATTTGTATCAGAATGTTTATTGCAGCCCAATTCATAATTGCTAGGTCATGGAAGAAGCCCAAGTGCCCATTGATCCACGAATGGATCAACAAACTGTGGTATATGTACACCATGGAATACTATGCAGCCATAAAGAAAGATGGAGACTTTACGTCCTTCATGTTCACATGGATGGAGCTGGAAAATGTTCTTCTTAGCAAAGTATCACAGGAATGGGAGAAAAAGTATCCAATGTACACACACCTATTATGAAATTAATTTAAACCTTTTTATATGAAAGCTATAACCTAATAACAACCTAAGGATATGGGGAGGGTGGAGGGAGGGGGGAGAGGGTGGAGGGAAAGGGATTCGAGGGTTCACTTCTGTGGTTCATCTTGCAAGGGTACAAGTGAATCTTTCTATGAGTAGAATATGAATGTTTTGACATAATAACTAAGAAAGTTACATGAAGGCTATGTACCCCCAAAGTGCATCAGTGTACACAGTTACCATTCAATTAAAAAAAAAAAAGACAAAGACATAGATCCTAACAGAAAAAAATGGGCGGTACAGAGGCACAAGTAATTCATAAAAGAAATGCAAATAGCCAAAAAAACTTAAGATGCTAAAACTCGGTAATCAATGAAATACAAATTAAAATGATAAGCCTCCATTTTTAGGGGAGAAATACCACAAAAAAAGAAAAAACAACTAAAGAATCATAATAATAAAAAGTATGCATGAGAATGTAAGGAAATTCACTAATTGGTAGAAAATCAAACTGATAATCCTTTTTGGGAAGGGCAATTTAGTAGCATCTGTAGCCAAAAATTTACATTGAACAGATTTTTTTTTCAATTAACTAGAAGGAATCTAAATTTTTAGATGACATTTTTATGCTAATAAATTACATACATTAAATTTCTGCAAATCCATATATCTACATCAGGTCCTCAAATAATGTCAGTTCTTCAATGCTATTTTCTTATACCACTGATGAGGTAAAAGCCTGATTCTTAGCAGGGGCAACTGTTTGTGTGGAGTTTGCACATTCTCCCCATGTCTGTGTGGGTTTTCTCTGTATATTCCAGTTTCTGCCCATATCTCAAAGTTGTTCAGGTGAAATGAACTGGCATGTCTAAATAGTCCCCATCTAAGTGTGAGTGTGTGTATGTGTGTGTGTGTGTTTAAGCCCTGCGATGAGATGACGTCCTGTCCAGGGTTGGGTACCACCTTGCTTCCTGAGCTGCCCAGATAAGCTTCTGCCACCTGTCACCTGAAGTAACTGGGTAAATAATTATCTTACTTGTTTTTAATTTATCATTCTTTAACATATGTATAGCTCACGTTTCAATGTTTAGTATTAGAAACGTTTGGGTCTTGATGTAGAAGTTTGGTGATGTTTCTCTGACCAAAAATATGCCATGGAAACTTAACTCCTGTTCATATCAATTAGCCCTTAGTAAAATTGGTTTAATTACATGTCTTTTTGCTTAAAGTTGCAGTTTTCCAGAACCTACTGACAACGTTAAATGAGGACGTACTGTATTCCGCAGTTTGACAAAGGAGTAATAGCATTGTTTCTCCATTTAATTTGTTTTTATTTTTCCTGGTATGTTTATTAGGGTAAAGAATCTGTTTAGCTCATAGAGGGCATAGTTGACGGGATTGGTTGATTTATTCAATAGTTTTATTGCTATAGCATCCAGAAAGTTATCTTTGCATATCATAGGGAACCAGATGATGACTTAGACTCAAACTGCAAGCCACTTGCCTCTCAGCACCTCATCTTCCTCATCTAAAATACACAGGATCCTTTATCATTTACTGACAATGATTAGTTCTGACAAACTGGGTTTCATATGCCACCATTCCACACATCCTTATATCTTACTTTACAGCTTAGTTTTTAGATACATTATAGCTAAAGCTCAGACTTTCGTTGATACCCATAGCAGTGAAAAACAAGAATCAACTCTATTAAATGTAGGTTGCTTAGTCATTTGCTGCTAACGTTAATTATTCAAAAGAAAGTCCTCCAATGTATTTCACATACTCAGAATACCAATGGAAGTGGAAGGACTAAAGAGTTTTTCTATGTCAAATTATTTTTATTTCTGAACTTTAGCTAGTGGTTTTCAACCTTCCTAATGCTGTGACCCTTTAGTACAGCTCCTCATGTTGTGGTGACCCCCAACCATAAAATTATTTTCGTTGCTACTAGCAATGAAAGGAGTAGGAAAAAATATTTTTTTTTCCAGTTTTTGGCTAGGGCTGGGCCTGAACCTGCCACCTCAGGCATATGGGGCTGGTGCCCTACTCCTTTGAGCCACAGTAGCAAAAAATTTACTTGTTCCCTTCCCTCTTTTTACCCATGATAGAATAATATAATAAATTGGTTTTAATTTTTAATGATTTTTTTAAGCACTGACAATGGGAAGTATTTAGCTGTAAAAATTTAATTTGAAAAATTTAATACAAACATATTTGAGAACTTTCCTGTTGAATAAATTATATAAAACAAAATATTTAAATCATTAAAGCTATTGGCTTTAGGTGGTAGAATTACAGATAAATTTTTACTTTTTTTTTCTTTCAGACTTAAAAAAAATCTAAATTTCTACGATGATCATATACCACTTTCATATTCAGACATAAACTTCATTTTTTTTTTCTTTTTTTGAGATAGAGCCTCAAGCTGTCCCCCTGGGTAGAGTGCTGTAGTATCACAGCTCACAGCAACCTCCAACTCCTGGGCTCAAGCAAGTCTCCTGCCTCCACCTCCCAAGTAGCTGGGATCACAGGTGCCTACCATAACACCCGGCTATTTTTTGGTTGCAGCCGTCATTGTTGTTTGGTGGGTCCAAGTTGAATTCGAACCTGCCATCTTAGGTGTATGTGGCTGGTGCCTTAGCCACTTGAGCCACAGGCGCCGGAGCCATAAACTTCATTTTTTAATCATCTTTATTAATTTTTTAATATTGAAAAAGTTACCATCAAGAAGTTAGGGAAATTTGTAAAATGCTAATGCCAGGCAAATTTTTGAGATGTTGTATACAGGGTCTCAATGCAATTGCAATACGGTCTCTCTACTAAATGAAAGGGCAAAGAAGATCAGAATGCTTCAAAGAGCAAGACACAGGAGCAGCAGCCCCAGCTAGGAAGACAGCGCCAGTCCACAGAGAGAACTAAGGGAGTCAGCATTCCCCTTGGTCCTGAGCTGAGATTAGATAGAAGATCATCAGTGATGAGTGATAACCTTGCCTTGAAATGGGCACAGTGTAGGGGAGTATGGCACACTTTTTGGGTGTGGGACATAACTATAAGAGGGACTCTACCTAACAAATTCAAATATTGTGATTTGGTTGCTTGTACCCTCACATTTACCAGATATATAAATGAATGAATAAATGAATAAAAGTTTTGATAAGAGCAAATGTTTATGAGAGGTAAGTGATGAAGTTTCTCATTTAGCCTTGTTCTTGTTGGATGTTAAGTTAACTGAAGTCAGAAAGCAGAATTTGATATGGCTTCTGCTTTAAAAAAGAAAAAAGAAGAGTACCCCTGAAATAAGCCTGGTGACAAGGCAGCAAACCTAGGTGGCCACCTGGTATCCAGGGCAGAGTTTAAAAGGGAGTCTTCCCTTTGTGTCTCAAGACCAATGCATCTCAGACCACTTTCCTTGGCATCCTTCTGGACACAAAGCTCCAGGTAGCCTCTAAAATGAGATGGTTTATAATCATACTTGTCCTAACTTTACAATCACACCCTTACAGAGTGATAGCTTCCTGTTTGATTGCTATTTACCCACAGTGAAATTCTGTCTTTGACAAATCCTCATAGAAATTCGCTTGAGTATCATTATACATCTAATCTCAAGATATATAACCTTCACATATTTTTCCATGTGGTACTATATTACTTACTTATTTAATTATTTTAATTATTTAAACATGATTATTTTGAACAGTTGTCTTTAGTTTTTTTAAGATTACTCCAAAATGATATAGCTAAATTTAGCTTCAGTCACCAACCTCTAATTTCTTCATTAAGTAGAATAGCATATAATCCTGTCAAGTTCAAACCTATAGAAATGCATCTTGAAATTAAAATAAGTGAATGACAAGCGGACAATTTCTATAATATATTCAGAAAATTAATATTTTTAATGATCTTAAAAATCAATATGAAAAATCAAAACTAACTTATAAAAATGGGTTTTTGAACATACTGGCTAGTAATTATAAGAAAAGATTAGCTTTGCCCATAAAGAAATGTAAATTAGATCGGTAAGGAGATACATTCTTCACCTCTCAGATTAGCAAAATATCTGAAGACTTCAAATAGTTGGATCAGAAAAACATATCTTCTCACATACTGTTGGTGGAGATGTAAATTTGTATAGCATTTTAAAAGGGCAAATTGATACCATCAAGAATATAAAGGGACATACTCTTTCGTACAGCAATCTTATTTCTAGAAATTTATCCCATAACTAAACTTAAAAGTATACTACCTTTTGTTGATTTTAAGACACATATTTTCACGTTTTAACATTTCTGAAATTAGGATGTTGTGTCATAGTTTAATTGGCAGTATTTTTTTCTTTCTTGGCGGCATGTAAAATAACGATGATTTTGGAATTTATAGTTTATGAAATATGGT